AGTTCGGCAGAAGCAGTTAGTGGAGTTCGGATTCTATGAGCAGATGAGCACCCAGATTTGAACAAACCCCAGAGATTTGAGCACCCCAACTTCTCCAGATGCTCCCAGCTGGCTCGGTTCCTTTTCCCAAAGCCCCAGGGGGGTTTCTCTTTTTCCACCACGCAACCGGATGTCCAAGGACCCGTTTCGACGGCCGTCCGACCAGACCGGTTCGTCCGCGAGGTGACGATCCGAATCAGACGAACTTCTTCACCACACGGAAGCGCCTTGACCTGTGGGGTCAAGCCCTGTGGGCGTTGGATTTCCACAGCCTGACTGGTGATTTGGGGTCAAGCCCGTTCGCGTACAAGCAAGGTTGGTAGAAATACCCTGAGCCAGTCCAAGAGCCTGTCAAAATGGCTGACCTGGTGTTGCATAGTGTAGTCCCCTTAGTACCATCAGTGGTGGTTGCGAGATCATAGGAATAGGTATAAATGAACCACAGATTTTCTTTTGTCAAAAGGGACATTGTTGGTGGGAAAGGGGTTGTGGTCTCCATGAGGAGACCTTTTCGTGGGTGGAAACCTCTAGGCGAATTCAGGAAGGTCTGTGACTGACCGGGGGCTGGTTGAGGTGGACATGCATCCAAGATCTTGACATCCTTATGAATCCTTCTCACTTCGGATCTGGGAGCTTTTGCCGCAGAACATGGTTTTTCCAGACCCTTCTTTGGCCGGCAGATCGCGACCCGCGGAAGACCCGCGGAGTTGCTGAGAAGACTTCAGTTCACTGACCACAGCACGGAGGATCCAAGCGGAGGAATCACCAGCCGAGAACTCGTTGAGATCCAATCGAGTCTTTGGGGAAGCGCCAAGCGCATTCATTTGATTGGTCCCCTATACTGCGATCCAATTGGAGCCTCGGGCGCCCGAGTTTCCAATTGGGAGACTGGAGCGGTTCATGAAGTGCGAAGAAAAGAACCTTGAAAAGACGAACTGGTCAAACCATACCATACCTGGATCTTCCAACTATGCAGAATTTGCACCTTGCGGCTGGTGTTATAGATGAAAAAGCAGACATGTTACACAGTCGGAAGATCCTGGCACGGTAGTGAAGAGTCTTCACCAGAAAATGCAGCTTTGGGGTCTTCCAACCATAAAAGCAACCAAGCCTGATACCACCAGACATTCTGGAAAGAAGACAAGCAGTTGCACCATCTTTCACTGGACAGTTGCACGGCGACTTTTCCTAGACTCCACCGCCTTACGTCGCGCAGGGAGGTGGAGCAGGGCGCCAACAACTCGAAGAGGATCCAATTCCAGGGAGCACCATCCGAGGCACCCCCGATCCAATACGTCCGCGGGTGGAGAAAGTGGTGTTCCCACCACGCGAGGGAGGACACCGACTGCCAAGAGGAAAGCTGCTTCGGACGTCGGGACTCCGAAGTATCTCCTGGCCAAAAGAAAGTCCAACCTAGAACTTCTCCGTTGGCTGGGTTCGGTGCGGTGCTTTTGGGTGGCTACTTTGGGGTGTAGACGTCCCGAGAGCTTCGTCTAGCTCAGAGCTGCTGATCTTTGGGGGGGGGGTGACCGACCACCGAAGCTGAAAAGGAACCGACCGACCACCGGTGGTCGGCTGCCGGGAAGCGGTCTGTGGGAGTTGGGTGCTGAAGGAAGGAAGGATGGTGAGTTGGGTGTAACTCATCCACATCCGCTCACAACAGTGGAACTCAAGGTTCCGCATTCCCAGAACTGGTGGAAAACTATGATTTAGATGCTGACCAAGTCATGAGTTCATACCTGGCATACATACATATATATATATATATTACATATTTTATACTACTTATACATTGATCCTGGGTCAACCAATGTGGACGCGATGCGATGCGAGTCTGCGACGGCGCGACACGTCGACGTCGGTGTTCACAGGACTTTTGCTCTTGCAGGGAAGGCTATCACTTGTCCGAGATGAACAGATGCCACTTGGATGGGAAGGTGAACCGATCGAAACCCCGAAGCTCGATCTCGGTGCCGAGTCCAGACATATTTCCGGCGTTGGTCTTTTGGTGCCGAAAACGACAAGCCGGATCCAGGGTTCAAAGGCAGAAGGCAGACTTATGAGATATCAGAGCACCATTGTTGATCCTTTTTTAGATCGGACTGAGAGTGCCTGGGAAGTTTTGACTGCAGCCTCCCTAGCCTTCCTTTCGACCAGAAAGGTTGAACTGGTTGCTTCAAATCCTTGGGCCCAGCCAGCTGGCATCTATAAAACCAGCCAGCGCTCCGCCGGCAGAACATTCGTTGGAAGATCCAGGTAGATTCCTGCACCGTCGCGCCCAATTCCTGCTTCCAATTCCCACCCAAACGGTGGTGCGAGTCCGTGTTTCTTTTTTTCTCGCGGGTCTCCTGAGGCACAAAATCATGTTTTTCAGAGTCGAGCAGATCTCGCTGCTCTCTGACCAAGTTTATTTGTTCTTTTTGGTGGGGGGGAACCCATTTTTGTTTTTTGGAACGCGTGACCAGATTTAGTGAAGCAGCTAAGCACTTGCAGATTTAGGCAATGAACGCTTTGCATATGTTTGGTTTTATCACAGACTTAAACGTCGCAGGTGGTGACCTGTTGGAGGGTCCTGGTGTGTCAGGAACTTCCTTCACGTCAGGAAGCACCTGGCCAGGAGGGTGCTGGTACAGGTATCCTTTGGAGGGAAAGGTCCTAAAGGATCGAAGTCGGGTGCCTCACCCGACGTCCAGAGCTCCGCATTTGGTTGGGGCAGCAAGGAGCAACCAACCCGCCGGAACGAGCGCCGGAACGACGGACGATGCGACCGTTACAGCGCAGACCTTGAGAGTCCAGTCATGACTGAGAAGCCCGAACTGGTAGTGGTGGATGGATTGACTACCAGATGAAGTAAAATGAGTTAACACGGAAGTTCTGGAAGAGCCCAGGACAGCCGTACACCTCGACCTTCCCGACCGTTCCCAACCGCCGCTCAGACCTTCCCGACAGCAACACCTTGGCCTCCGCGTCAGATGAAGAGTGCCCGACACGGAACTGGCATATGGGTTCTTCCAGCGAATGTCTGCCAAAGCTGGCTCCATCAAACCAGCAAGGTTCCGCAGACGGTCCGAAGATCCAGGCAGAGGCTCCCTCGTGCTCCTCCCACCCCAGAGAATTTGCTAAAATGAGGGGCCAGGCAGTTGGACGACCTTTGTTCATGAACATGTGAGGAGCTTTCTCGGAAAACGTTGGCCTCGTGCCGGCATCGAGGCTGCGTCGGAGAAAGCTGCTGAAGGTTTGAAGGTTGGAATCTCCTGGTTCTGCTGATCCAGTGAGTTGGATTTTTTTTTTAATGTGGAGTGAATCTCCATTTTTAGGAACATTTGTTTGGACTCTTTTCCGGGACAACTCAACAACTCCAACACTCAGCTTGGACAGCTTGCACCAAGTCCAAGGTGAGAAGTGCTCGGAAGGTGCCAGCTGTACTGGGAGGGGCGAGGTGACCGTGGCACCAGGCGCTTGCGCGCTGCGCCGCTTCCGTGCCGCGCCGCTTCCGCGCCGCGCAGCGGGACGGCCCGTGGGGAGGTGTGCTGAGGATGTATCCTCGGATGCGCTGCGGCACGGCCCCTGTGAGGTTCCTGTTTGTCTTCCCCTTCACAACTGACTTCTGGACTCTGGAGGTATTGGACAGGGTGACAGGGTCTCTCAGGGGAAGACATATGGGGAATTTTTGGACGGAGATTGGAAGCTGGACCTCGTGTTCGGACCGGGTGGTCGCCGGACGGACCGCGTCTGCTCACCCGGTCCGGACGCCGGTCTCGGTGGCGGTCCGGTCCGCCCTGTGGAGGCTTTTGGTCCTCGCAGTCGGAGCCCAACAGCGTCTTCCGCTGTTCCTGGAAGACCGAACATGGCGGCGGTGGGTGGGCGGGTGTGTAATGCAGGTTTGACGGCAGGTTTTGCGATGGATGGACGAGCAGAATGAAAAACCCGGACGGCAGGTTTCATGAACCACGTGCTTCACACGAACGCTTCGCGGGGTCGAGACAAGATCGTGAGAGTGAGAGAACTCTTGACGTCCCAGGACGTCGAGACCGGCTTTGAGCACCACTGGATGCTGTCCCTAGCCTCGCCTCCCCTAACAGACCATTCAAACAGTTCCGTCGACATACTGGCTGGACCCGACTGAAAACAGGTGTTTCCTGTGTTTCCAAGTCCGGTGCCCAGGTTCACCACCTGTTGGGGTCCCAAAGCAACCTGTTGGAGGGTCCTCGTATAAGTTTAAGCCTTATGTGACATGTGACATAAGATTGACCTGGTCTTGGAGTGCAAAATCCTTCCCTAGTAGTCCAGTTCGACGATATTTTTTCCAAACAGTGAAGGATTCAGGACATTCCCGAAATCAGGATCCTGTAACAACTCGGGAGACCCTTCAAAAGTCACATCGTTGACTCGGGCCTGAGTAACACGAACGGTTTTCTTCAGCGCCTTTGGGGCTATTCATATCCCTAGCCTTCAGTTCGACCATATTATAGTAAATCATGGTATCACTGCTTGCGCCGTGCTTGCTGCCAAGACCGTCCGCGATGAAAAACATGGGAACGACCTGAGTTGCGGTCATGTCAAGCCCTGAGTAAAACAGCTTTTGTTCTTCGGTATTCAAGCCCATTCAATGTATGGGCTCCGGAAATCTCGTCGACGTATCAATATCGGTGCGCCGAACGAACCTCTCACCCCGTGCGAATGTTCGGGGAGGTCGAAGGCTTTTTTCTTGACGCGTTATTTTTTTTTGGTGTTTTTTTTGTTTTAAATAATTTTTGCTTTTTTCTGGAGTTCATCACCAATTTGAACAGATGCCCTGAGAGTCCGACTGGACTCTAAAAAGAAGGGTGAAGGGTCTGACGAACAAGTAGCTGCTTTCGAGAACTTCTATCCTTCACTGTTTGGAGAAGTATAGTCGAACAAATCACATGCTTCTACGCAGCCTGGATCATGAATCCTGATTCATGCATGAAAAGCGAGCAAAAACTTGAACCACCCGCAAAAAACATTTCTTTGCCACGTAGAATCATAGGACAGGATTGAATCCTCACGAGACGTAGGGGACCAACAGCGTCCAAGTTTGGAGTTCGCGCAAATTTTGCCGCGGCCTCGTGCTGCTGGGTTGGGCACTGAGGCTATGGCAATCCCCATGCATGTCCTGGTGGTCGTCCTGGAACCTGTGCCTCGGGGCGTTTCCATATCCGCTGTGGTCGCTGTCTACAAGGTACAAGGCAAGTGGGATGTGCCTTGGCTGCAGATGCCCGCCGCAGATGGCCTGCGCAGCACATCGCTGCGCGCGGGTGCAGGAGACTAGACACAGCTGACAAAATCCTCTACCAGCACCCTCCAACAGCTGTTTCATTGCCCTGGAAGTCCAAGACCATCAAGAAGATGGTGGACCCGGTATTGTAACTAGTGTAAAATCTTTAGTACAACAATGGTGGTTCGGTAAAGACATGTAAATACCATTGAAGACAATGTTGGAAGCCTGTTGGGGTCTAAACAGCCTGTTTGAGGGTTCTTCCTGGCAGACCTCATCTTCTTCAGCTCTTTGGCATTTGGCTAACCTGAAGAAGGGATAAGAAGGGACTGCTTGGGTTCTTTCATCTATTTTTGGGGGTCTCACCTACTTGGGGGACATACACATACCGCTTCCTTGAACACTCTTACTCTCTCTCTCTCTCTCGCTCGCTCGCTCGCTCGCTTCTCCCCCCAAAAGAAAAGCGCTTCAAACCCTTCCGCTGCCAACTCCACCCCTGACTCCACCGCTTCTCCGCCCGTGGGCGGTCCTCGCCGTGGTGTCCTCGCCAACCTCCGCCCCGTGTGGGAGTCACCGAGTTGACCACCCGGACTCGGGCGCTTGCATGGAATGCTCCGGCGGAGACTATGCGCTTTTGCTGGTGCCCATTCTGGCCTTGGTGCTGTGTGCCGTGATCGCCTATGCGGCTGCCCGGTGATGGAGCAACGGCCGGGGTCGTTGCCGGGCGGTGCAAGCATGAGTGTGTTGAAACTGAGCTTTTGCTCAGGAGGGAGCAACGGCTTTTTCGAAGCTACACGGTATCCATATTCCGCAAGCCCAACCCCTTGCTAGTTACTGCCCCAAAAACCGAACCCTAGGCTTCCAACAATTAAATTGACAGGCTTTACCGAACAACCATAGTCTTACTGAGGATTCTACACTACAAAGCCAAATCAACCGCTATTTTAATGGCCTTAGAAGGCTAGGCGAAGAGACACTAGAGCAGGTGCGAAGATCTACGCGTACTTGCTTTTTGGACCCTTGCTTTGTTTTGCGGCATCAAAATAACACACGGCGCAAGCTTGGCTGGCAGCGCTCTCACCTGGCCTAATGGTCTGAACTTGACCCATGGGAGACTGAGATGTATACCGTTTTCCTTTTGCAACCGCCGATGCGGCTGCATGGTTCCTGTATGGTTCATGGAACCGACGGTCTTTGGCACCACCAGAGCACGTTTCGTCAGACCATTTTCAGTAGTTGCCTAGACCATCCAGGGTGTTGGGCGCAAGCTCTTGTCTTCTTGGGCTTGATTTGTGCTTCTGGGATCTTCTGGGTATATAACTGGTATTCTTGTTGATGCATTAGGCCTGCTCACCCTTTCTTGGTTTGGCAGCTTTAAGCCTTTTTGGTGTTTGTTCCTATAGAGGGACACACTCTGAGGTTCTTCGTTGAACAATTGAGTCCGGTTCGTGACAGGAGTCCGGTCTGCCACCGAATGGGTGGAATTCCGAGCCACGGCCTTTACAACACCAAGTCAACTGAAGCTATTCTCATGGTCTTCTGGAAAGACCTCTTATTCGGGACAGAAAAACACCCTTCTGACATGATCCTTGAATGCCCAGAGATGCCCAGAGGGGTCAATACTCCTTTGATGGATGAAAACGAAGACATGACTTTAGGTTGGAAGATCCAAGGAGCACCTGCCTGCAAGGGTACTATACTACTACTAGTACTACTAGTACTACTAGTAGTACTAGTACTAGTACTAGTACTACTAGTACTAGTACTAGTACTAGTACTAGTACTACTACTACTACTACTACTACTACTACTAGTACTACTACTAGTACTACTACTACTACTACTACTACGACTACTACTACCACTACCACTACCACTACCACTACCACTACCACTACCACTAC